CAGTAGCAGTAGCAGTATTAGCTAGAAGATATTTTTCAAACGGTATCTTTTGTATATCCATAGGAATACAAAGTTAAAGCTATAATCAAAGATATCCTGGAAGAAAATCTTGAAAACAAAGTGTACGACCCCAACCAATGCAAACAGCTGACCGTACAACTTTCAGACCAACTAAAAGAGCGAGTCAAACGATTGCGTTACCCACGTTACAAATATGTATGTCACGTAATCATCGGAGATGTGAACAACCAGGATGTCCGCATCGCAAGTAGAGGTGCTTGGGATTCATCTGTAGATAGTTATGCAGTGCATGAGTTTAAAAACTTTACATTTTATGCTGTCGGCATTGTATTTGCAATATATTGTGAATAAGTAGAGCGACAGTACAGGAACGCTTTCGTGCATGCGCCGTGCATTTTAGCGCAGAAACTCAGATTTGCGACAGGGCAGAAAAACGACAACCCCGCTCACGATTTTTTTTATTTAACTGAGTTTAATACTCCAAATGTTTAAGCGTTTAATTTGTGTTACTGCTGCTTGAGACTTGTGACGAAATATTGTCGAATTAGAGTAAATCTACTTATTAGTATTCACGAAAATGTCAGTTTTTTTGCTGATCAAAATATCACCTCTCTCAAAGTACACAGTTTTATATCTCAAATACGCATTCAATAAATTTTTGGTAGCATTTGATATTTTGCTATTTGGCTCCAAAAGAACGTGTTTACAAAATATTGTAAAGCTGTCTTTATGGCGAATGGCCAAAAAACGTTTTTCTGCCCTGCCCAGATTTGCATATTATAATAACCTGGAGCATGCGCTAATGTTATTCACTACTTGACATTTCAGTATATATATCTTCATAAATTTTTATTCAGTCCTTTATAATGGTTTTCATATTTGCTAAATATAATTGCTCAATAATTATTACTATTTAATTCCAGAAGATTAAACTTAAGCCGCGAAAAGCGTTTTTAAAAATAATAAAAAAATCCATGAAATTAATACAAAGCTCAATGAAGCTTAAAGTGCGCCCAATCCCTGATACAATAATTTCAATATTGATTCTACATAATGTTGATGTTGAATGGTGAAATATTTCTTCATTTCAATGTTGCGTCTTTAAGTTATAAAGGTTTATACTAGCAATATGCCGACTGTGACGTCATTTCAGGCTTCATTAAATATACAAATTTTGACTGGTTCACACAAAAGATATTTAAAAAACATTATTATACACAAGATTTCCACAATATATATTGTAAATTTGATATCTCATAATGGCTAGTGTTTGGTATTAAAAATGTAAACGAATTACACTCAAAAGCCTGGGGTGACGTCACAGTCAGTAACAAAATGGAAGTATAGACCTTCATAACTTAAAGACACAACATTCAAATGAAGAAATATTTCACCATTCAACTATTCACATTATGTAGAATCAATATTGAAAGTATTGTATCAGGAGTTAGGTGCACTTTATTTTCCCATTTCAGACCATGTGACATTCCCTAGAGTATTATTTCTTTGCTTAACGGTTCCACATGAAAAGACACATGAATATGGATGCAATAGACCATTTCACGAATCCCGCGGCTCAACCTCAGCCTCGTCAGCGTGTAATATATTCTTTAGAAATTGCCTACAACCTGTGAAATTGTTAAGTGTTTCAATTGTTCGTTGATGTGTAAATTCCTTTCATTACTGCGGATTGTAGTCAAATTCTAAAGAATAATTACACGCTGACGAGGCTGAGGTTGAGTAACGGGGTCCGTGAAATGGTCTAGTGAAACATAGGTTGTTTTTTTTTTGAGAGAATGATATGTTGTCCRGCTGATATTTTAAAACCTTAGGCCTAAGCTAAAATATGCTCAATTAAGTACAAGTGATAATAAAAAAAAAAGTTAAAATATAAATCAGTTTATATGGTAGATTTTCGTCTTCTGTATTCATAATCATCCAAATAACTCGGGTCATATTCTTCTAGAATCACACTCGGYTCTTTTTCATCTTCAAAATGCACACTTTTAACGCTTATATCCGATAACATCCGGGAAACCCTTCCACGTGTACCGCTGACCCCATTCCCAGCGTGCTCRTCGTCATCCAACATCGTCTCCATACTCGTCGGTCCACTTTCCCTTCCGTTCAAAACATCTTCGCTTGAATTTAAATATATACCATTTTYCCCAAACACTGACATTTTTCTCACTTTTCTTTGTGGTAAGCCAACAACATCTTCGTGATATTTTTCGGGAATAAATTTCGAATTCTCCTGATCCGGGCCACTAGTAGTCGATGACGAACTCAAATACGACGTGCAAGACCGCTGACTCATATGACTGATTTTTCTCATTTCGGTTTCGGGAGTATCTATAGTTCCCATACTCCTGACCGGGTTTAGATCGACATTTTTTTCTGGTTTTAGTAAAATGACGTAAACTTTCGGCAGGAAAAYACAGCAGAGCGTCACTGTTACAGCAATAATCAAAAACGTGCTGACAAGAATGTCTTTATAGCGTCCTTCGGTTCCATAAAAAGAGAGAAAAAACACTAAAACATCGGTTGATATTGTTATCATTGTAAATGCAATGAATCTCGCTTCGTTATGACTTCCAGGGACTTTTCTTGTAAGATARGCTTGGTAGGTACATACTAGTACGATACCAGTGTTGTAAGTCCACCATATTGCCATGTTGTAGTTGGCGTAAGTTGCAGTGAATTTACATTGAACGAAGGCTTCGTTTGATACTTCGGTGTATATCGTCTCCATTAAAGTATTCTCAGATGTCATGACAATAAGGATACAGATCATCACCTCTACGATTACGAAGCCAGCTATGAATAATAACATCCAATTGTCGCTTAGGAATGGAGGTGTACCTGAAAATAGATRTAAGTGTAAATTTTCTTTAAAAATAATTTTGCCTCTCATGTGTAACTTATTTTGTATTCAAAAATCTTACATCAATATTTGTTGCGCCAGGTTTCTTATTTATCTTTTAAATATGTTAAGTTTTAAGAAGATTTGATTTTTTTGTGTTGGTAGTGTAAGTTGTAGATCAGTGTTTTTTCTTCTTATTGAAATTGTTCGTTCGTTCGTTCGTTCGTTCGTTCGTTCGTTCGTTCGTTCGTTCGTTCGTTCTTCGTT